TGCAAAGACTCCTGAGCGTGTAATGTTAATTTTACCTGTGAACATTGAATAAATCAGCACGGTTTTGAAGTTACTTGGACTGCTTCGTCTCTCAGAGTTAGCGTGGTGAAAAGAACGGGGGTCCAACAAATGGTGCCGTGACTTCGTGCACCGGCTAAACTCTCAGACGACTGGTCCGTCGTCCTGGATCCACAAATGGTGCCGTAATCCTGTGCCTGGCTGAGCTGTAAATTCAACATTCGATCCTGAATTGGCTGAGATTCCGAGACGGAAGAGTGACTTCCTGGGTCCCTGTCAAGCTGTGCTGCGGTGTCACACATCAACTGGTCAACCGCAAACAAAGGTAAGCAGGATAAACCTTTGTTATACATAAAGCCTGCACATTGGATTTGTACCAAATTTTGTTGATGTGTGGACTGCCCACTCTCGACGCATTAAATTGGATTCAAAAACTGTAAGGACAATAAAACAGATTTGTTTTGGAATGATGTGCTGATCTGTTCACTGACACACGTAACAGTTAACAAGCACATACTCTCACTTTGAGGGATAAAGAATGAGTGTCGTTGATTACAGAATTTGATACCAATGAGGGACATAAAATTCATGTTCTATGAGTGAAACTCCGCTACCTCACAGCAGGTTGTCTCTCCAAAAGTTTGATTTCTTTTTGATTTGCCTCCGGTTGGAAAGCAGGCAGAGAGTGATCTTGACTGAACAGATGATCTCTGGTAAATGCTAAAGGTAATAAATGGCACAGGGAAAGGGCCAGTTTGTTGTTTTCTATGAAAATGTGGAGTTGGTTAACTGCATAACAGGCCGATTAAACGTGGTTCACAGTTGTATCGGAGCAGGACAATAAGTTTGGTTCTGAAAATTCACTGTGATTCAATGCGCCTTGTGCAGCTGTGTATTTGGTCCGGGTGGTACAGCTTACTGGGGACTGTTTATTAGCCTTAGGGTGGCAGCTGTCCTGTTGAGATAAAACAGTGTTATCGATTGTTATTCGGTCGATCCACTGGGCGACAACGGACAGCATCACATGTGGCATAAATATCCTTCAATATGGCTGATTGCATTATTATTCAGAACTGGCAGAAATGCAAACCAGGGACTCTAGGTGCTATTTTGTATCAGCTTTTAAACAAATGGCTGGGCACGTTGCATCCCAGTCAGCACAGTAGTGAAACACAGCGTTTTGTGTTATGGACTGAACAGATAAGTGTGAAAGGCATGTTTGATACCTATGACGAAGCTCCCCCAGAAGAGGGAGCTCTAAGACTGTATGTGAAACAGGCAGCCCTGTCAGCGGCCAAGGCACGTCTGTGTAATAGTAGAGCGTCTTTGTTACAGAAGCACAAAACGGAGGCTAAACTTAAACACTGTGAAACATTTCTTCAAGACCATCTTTGCTTTTTGGCTGAATTTGGAAAAATTCTGAAAGCTACAGCTAGTGCAAATGAAGCGCAAATGCCTGCTATTCTTTCCAGTGACACACACACAGAGAAAGAGAGCTGTTCTCTCAGGCTCACCC